CCTCCCTCCCTCTTCCCGACGCACCAGCCATTTCGGGAGCTGGTTGTCGGTGACGAGAAAGACTTTCCTAACCCACGGTGCGAAACGCTCCAACGATCGAAGAGAAAAGCTGTGGTGATGGGGAAGGAAGGTGGTGGGGAAGGAAGACGGTCAGATGGGCCCATCTCGGGAAGGTTTAGGAAAGCAATCAGGGGAGAAGCTCCGGATGAGTCGAGGGAGACAACGAATCGTACAGAAAGGAGAAAGATACCGAGGCACAAATAAGAGGCAGTTTCCGGGATTACAGCTGAAGATGAAACTATTCGGCTCGAACGAGGGAGCCCGGGGAGCACGCAAGAAGGGGCAGGGGAAGGGAGGGAGAGGTGGCGCGGAAGGAGGGAGAGAAGAGGGTGTACCGTAGCTCATCGCTATCGCGATATCGATTGACTGCCGCGGGGTCGTCGCTACGCGATTCTTCGTCCTCCTCCACGGCTAGGGGGATGTCAGAGGTGGGACGGGACGGGAGGGAGGCGGAAGGGGAGGAGGGAGAGGAAGAGGTCTTAAAGTCACTCTTCTTCGTGATTCTATCGTCCTCTTTCTCCTCCTCTTCGGGGCCGCCCGCTTCGGTTTCACGGACACTGGACGCTTGACCTTCCTCTTTGATTCGCAAAGCCCTTCTTCCCCTCCTTCGTTCTCCCTCCCCTCCTCCCTCCGCCCAGCTGGATTCCAGGAACTTGGCCTTCTTCGCAAGCCACACTGGATCCGAGCCATTCACCTACACACAGAAAAGACGACAGGATAAAGCAAGGGCCTTTAAGATAAGAATTAGGGGGTGTGACCTGGAAAGGTAAAACTCCTGTGCTGCCCGATGGGATGACATGGTGCGTCTTATACATATTCGCGCCCTTCGTCGTCTCTGCGCTTGAACGGAGTCCCGCCGATCTTACCCATGTATACACCACGTCGATGGGGCCGTACGAAAGGAGGGATTCGAAGTTTGTGCCGGCCAAGTTATCGGCGAACCGACGCTCTGTACATTCCCTCCTCATCCATGCATAGCTCGGACCCGAGGTCCTGAACGTGGGGAAACATTATGTGATCTGCTTGTACAAAGAGTAAAAGAATTTGTTCGCTGCTTACCTTGAGAGGAAAAAGAAGTTTCGATGATAACAACCACCGAATGCCAACAAAAGCAAACTGTTCACGAAGGGGACAAGCAGGAGGAGGAGGAAAAATAGACACAAGAAGGGGCGACGCAGAAGAAATGTGTATGATTTACGCTGAAAATTCTTGAGCTCATTCCTCAGCGCTTCTTCCAAGGATGCCTTTAATTCAAGATGAGGACGTAGGAGACAAGAGGGAGGAAGGCAAAAGCAATTTAATTTACTCGGAACATTGGAGGCGAGATCGCGGAGGAAGCAAAGAATGCATGAGGCTAGATGCAGGACGTACCAGTTTCCCATCCAACCAATGGAACACCCTCAGCAGTGTCTCCATTGTCGACCTGCGGCATGGAACGAATGGTCTATCAGTGGGAGTGTATTTATTGGACGGCAGAAATGCGTTCCCAAGCCCCTAATTTTCCAGCGACGCCAGCGATGGCAGAGACGGCGAAGCCCTCGCAGCTCCCTACGAAGTGCGGTACGACATCAAGTAGGCAGGAGAATGACTGATCACAAATGGCATCAATTCGAATGTGTGTACTGCCAGGGGATTTTGTGGCAGGTGTGAGGCCTTGCACCTTCCCCGCTTGTCTTCCATTGAAGCGGAAGTATTTGCCATTGATCCCTCGTTTTTTCAGCAAGTGTTGAACAATTTCGGAACAGATACATCTCCACCGGGCACAGTACGGGCTCACATATGGAGTCCTCAAGCCTCTGGGATGCATGCACTTGGAAGCGTCTGCGAATCCGTAGAAGAGGTAAGCACGTCGCGGACACATTTTAATCTCGGAGTGGGCTGGGAGGTTCCTCATATGCTCTCCCCCTTTGACCCGCACACAGCCAACGCATCCTCTTCCTGCTTCCACTGCGTCGCCACCCTCCTCCTTCTCCTGCTTTTGCTTATTTCGGATGGAATAGAAGCCTTTGTCCTCCCCGTCTCCGCGCTGAAAAGACCGTCTAGTCGAGCAATGGTACACCTTTCCCCTACGGACGCCGACACGGCTCCTCGCTGTCGATTTTTGCTTCATCAGCTTGCCACCGTAGCAGGCGGCATATTTCTCGGGGGTGTTACTGGGAATGTAGGCGGGCATACAGAGGCACAAGCCTCGGATCAGGTGATCACTCAAAGCTACATTGAACAAGTGCGCGACGGTAGGTTTAAACCCTCGATTTAATTTGATGCACTGGGACAATCTCCCTCGAGATTCCCGTAAGCTTTTCGACATCTTTCTTGAAAATCCACGCTGCCTTGTACCTTTTGTTCCCCTGGGCGGCTGGCAGCGATCCCAGTGAAGACGATTCGCGGCGTTTGGCGCATCCGCGAGTACCGGGACAGGGACCAGCCCCTTTGCAAAGGCAGGATCAAGATGCGAGGTCAGATCGGAGGGAGGGGGAGGAGATGTGGAGAATTGGAAGGGCAGGAGAGGAGAGGAGGGGTGCGCGGCATGGGTAGGAGGTGCGATGTGAAATTGAGCACTGAGAAGGCCCTGCGTCCCCTCGTCGCGCAGGCTTCGTGGAGGAGCCCAACAAAGGCACCTTGGAGTACACGGGCTGCAACGACGGGAAGGGGAAAGGTGCGTGGGTGGGCTCTCCAGGGGGGAGGGAGGGCAAGCGTGGGTGGTTGACGGGGAAGACGGAGCCATGGGCCAGCTGGGGGAGGAAGGGGGAGGGAGTGGTTCGAGGAAAGAGGGAGGGAGACCTCGACCTGCCTGGAGGAAGACAAGAGGGGAAGAAGGAGCAAAGAAAGGGGAAGCGTCCGTGTGGAGGAACAGAAGAGTAGATCTTGCCTCAAAGCTGTCGGGGTCCCGTTTGGGTCCAAGGAGGAGGCTGTGACTTAGAACGCCGACGGGTGACGCCCGCGCCATCGGTTGGCCTTCCCTCTCCTCACCTCCTCCCCTCTTGGTCTCCCTTCAGGTAACTGGCTGCTCAAGCCTGCCCGCATTGCCAACGGGCAAATTCGCTTCTCGGCCCGGTGAGTTCCCCGATCCGATCCTCTGCCCATGCCGCCGCCTCCCTCCTTCTCTCTTGTCCTCCGTCCCTTCCTCCCCGTTGCCATCCCAAAACTCGATTTCCCTCGACAAGGATACAGCTTTCTCTCCTCTTCCCCCCTGTCCTTCTCACGTCTTTCTCCCTTTCTCTTTCCCTCTTTTCCTCTTCAATTCTTTTTCACGCTATTAAGAATAACCCGCCCCCCTCACATTCTCTATCGCACTCTCATCTTCTTCCTTCCCGCCCGTCGTCTGTACCTCGCCTCTCTCTCCTCGCTCCCGGACCTTAGATGGAAAGTCCGCTTCTCCGACGGCGAGTCGCTCATCTACCGGGGAGACGTCTTGGCTGGCGGGAACTACGCCAAGGCCTCTGCCTCCATCACGGACGGCGAGATCCTCAAGCCCTTCACTGGGATCACTGGTGAGAGGGTGGAGAGCGGTGGGGGGGAGAGGCGGGAGTCCCCACGGTTTCCGTATGGGAGGGCGTGAGGTCGCAACTCCCCCCCCCCAAACCTTCGCGCTGCGCGCTTCTGTCCTTATTCCTCACCCCCACCCTTTCCATATCTCCCTATTGCTTGGCAGGGAATTTGTCGGAAAAGAAAGTGGGCACGTTTGAAGCAGATTTGATTCAAGTCAGTGATGACGAGGAAAAGCTGTAATGCAGGGCCTTAAAGAACAAATAACAACTTTTCAAATTGCCTGACTTTCAGCATCGTTCTTTGCTTTCCAGTCCTCACAAACTTATGTTCTAGAGCCCCAGTGCCTGCATGACCGTCAAAAGTCGCACCTATTCAAATTATACATCACGTGCCTCTACCTCCAGACCCAACGCCTTCCAAAATATGGCGCGAAACTCAACTTGGGAGCGCCGGCGCGGGCGTCTCGCTTCTATCAAGCACTTTTAGCACCTCCTCTCCTCTCTGGAATCGAGACGCGAGACCCCACGCATCCTCCCCATCGTAAAGGGCAACGCGCCGATGAGGGTCCCCGCCCTGCTGGAGGAGAAGGCGGAGCACCTCCACCTCCCTCCCTACCTCGATCGCCTTGTGCAGAGGAGGAAGGCCCGTGCGGGGACAAGGTAGGTTGACGGTGGAGGGACTGAGGAGGGAGCTAAAGAGGGAGGCGGGTGGGGAAG